TCATTCCCTAAATCAGGTGTGATCTACCAAGAATGTCAGTACTCTCAACAACACTCTATCTTCTCTGGAGAGATGAGCATCTATCAGGGATATATCCTTCTACTTTTAAATTAATTTATTATTAAGTATAATAAATATAATAATTACGTGTTAAAATTGTCTACCTCAACTTTAAGCTTTGTCTGTTTTTTGCACTGGTGTTTCCCAAGTACCTGGACAGTGCCTATGTAGTTACCGTAAAGCCAATGAGGACTAGCCACAGGGCATCTCACTTGCACAGGGTCTTTACAACACTTTGCTATTTGCATTCTTTTCTGCAAAGAGCTACCTAAAATGTACCAACTTTGTGCCCCACAAAACTTGAATCTACTTTTCACCTATAACCCATTAAATGTTTGTTGACTGAATGAAGAAAGGAATGAATGATTATCTGAGTCCAGGCAGATTCTACTGCTGTAAACAGAATCCAAGTTTATTCAGTGCAAAATAGGTTCAAAGTTTTAACGGAGCAGAGAGCCATCCTGAGAATGCTGGGAATGCCTGATGAATCCAGATGAACTTGGAAAAGATTAGTTTATATACATCATCAGAAGACTTTTTGAATGAATCAGTAGCAGCATGAATAAAAGAAAAACAGTGGTCCCCTTCAAAAGGAAGAGTCTTTGGATGGTTGCTTCATTCCATCACTACCACAGATCAGGTTGTCTCTGAAGACAAAGTCTGTGATGGGGAGGCTTGGGTGCATGTAGCTTATTTGAGAAATGATTCCAGGAAAAAGTAAGAGAGCAGGAAAACAAAATAAGGAATGAATAAACCAGGATAAAAGACAATATTGTGTTTGTGCTGGGGCAAGAGGAGATGGAATCCATTGGGACCGCCAAGAGAACACAGGATGCTCTCTGGAGTGCCTGCCTGAATGGGCAGGTTGGAGCTTTTGTTCCCCTGTCCTGTTCCACCAGGAGCATCAGGATCTCTGGCTGTCTTTGAGTACAGCCCAAGTTGGCTCAGATAATATCAGAGAAGGCCCCAGAGCAGGAAGCAGCAACATTCCAAGTAGACACTGCGGAGGGGCACTGTCAGCAAGAGGTGAATGGGAACTGGTACTGTCCATGGCAGCAAGGCTGAAATCAGAGATGGGAGGAGAGGATGTAATGGAAGCCACTGGAGGCTCCTCTATGGTCTCCTTTCCAATAAAGCTGTGCCTTCTTCTATAAGCTCTCTTGTGTGATGGCCAATCGCACTGAAGCCATATCTTTCTGGGAGCACCACACCTACATGCATGTCAGACTCAGTTATCAAGCAGGAAGTTCATAAGGGGTAACATTGTCATATTTCCTTAATTGGCAACTCTTTATCTTAATTTTACCTAATGAACTATCAGACTACATATTTGCATTTTAGATGACTGTGTCCGAAACGTAGTTAAATCAGGCAAAAGTAATATGTGTCTGCCTTTGTTACCAGAATTTCACAGAGTAAATAACTATGCCAGATTGGAGATTTGGCAGAGAATTTATAGGGCCCTAAGATTTCTTGAACCTACACTTTGTATGACTCTTTTTAAACTTATCTCTCTAAAATCTCTGCAAGACTGGCCAACATGGTAAAACCCCATCTCTACTAAAAATACAAAATTTAGCTGGGCATAGTGGCATGCACCTGTAGTCCTTGCTACTCGGGAGGTTGAGGCAGGAGAATTTCTTGAACTTAGGAAGTGGAGATTGCAGTGAACCAAGATCGCACCATTGCACTCCAGCCTGGGTGACAGAGCGAGACTCTGTTTCAAAAAAAAATTAACTAATGAATAACAATTTTTCATGTACTTTCCCTGACGGTAGATTGCATCAGGCACAGGAAGACTACAATTCCCATAAAAACCATTCATCCTTTTTGTTGTGAACCTGGGAAAGCACCCTCCTCATGCAGTATCCATAAAAGAGATCACACAGCCTTGCCCAAAGGATGGCTACAGTGCAGAAAACTGCTCCCCCTCCCTTTTTTAAAATCACAATAAAGAATAAATGGATATGTTTTGCCTGGAAATCATATGTTCATTGTACTTGTCAGGGGAGAAGTTATAATGCTCACAGTATAATGCATGACCTTCATATTCTGCTCATGGGGACATCAAAAGGGTACACCAGGCCAAAGGACAGATCTACGGAGTGTGAGGGGACGGTGCAGAGGTGTGGAAAGAGCAGACTTCAGCTAGCTATTAAATATGAGCCCCAGGACATCTGCTGTCCCTCAGATACATAAACAGGTAAAATAATACTTAGCTTACACAGTTTCAGTGAGCATTAAACCAGGGCATGTACAGAAGCTCCAGAGAGTGTCTGGGAAAGGCCTGTCCACTCTCCAGGGCTTGAGCCCCTCTGGCTGGCAGCACTGCCCTCACTGTCACTTCCTGAGTCGGGCAAGAATGTTATTGCACAGAAGGCTGATGCTCACGCAGGGCTGTGCTACGCTGCTGGCACAGAAATACAAAGCCGAGTCCCCCAGCTCCAAAGAGCTCAGGTTTAGTTCAGAGCTCATATTAGGGAACTGTTTTCCTGAGAATCGTTCGGGAATGTTTCCTTTTTCTCTCTCATTCTCATTATAGTACTGAATGAGGAGCTGGAGGCTCTGGTCCAGGCTCTGTCGGTACCAGTACACAGAGAGGTCTCCAGACCTAGGGGAGCATGTCAGCGCCACTCGCTGTCCAATTGCTGTGAGCAGGTGCTTCGGGGTTTGTGTGACTCCAGAATCCACTGGGCCTGTGTGTCAGAAGACAGAAGTTAAAGGTAAGGCACAGAAGAAAGCCATCATCGGCCCGTGTGCATTTCAGGGATAGGAAATGGAGATCAGAGACTTTCAAGCTGTGTCCAGGACTCACCTGCTCCCAGGAGACAAAAGGCCACACAGCAGAGGAGCCTGAAGCCCATGGCGGCATCTCCTCGCTGGGGCTGGGGTCTCTGTAGTAAGCCTTCTGCAGTTCCCACGCTCTCTTCTTCCTGATAGGAGCATTGTCCCATGACGTCACAGCACTGACTCCGCCCCCCCCGCCCCCGCAGGTCACTCCACGCACTGCACTCTTTTGTCAGGTGTCAGGTTCTATTACTCCATGTACTGTAATTCCTGTCCTGCACAGCTCTGAAGCTCAAGGTGAGGAGGATCGAACGCAGTCCCCACATGCCCCCATCACACCTTACTTCCCTCTGCCCACCCTGTCCCTGCCCTGACACTAACTCCCAGCCCTTGCCACCCCAGCCCCTTCACCCTGCAGAGGCAGAGACACTCCCTACTTGGTGCAAACCGAGGACTCTGGCGCCCCTACCCTTCCAAGGCAATGAGAGTTTATGCTGAACTCACATATCCCGGCCCCACTCAGGGGACTCCCTCCACCCCGCTGATGCCAGCAGGCAGCCCAGCCTCCCCTTCAGCCCTCCCCTCCTGGCACTCTCCCACCCCTCCTCTGAGTTCTCCGCAGCACTGCGAAGCCGCAGCGCCTCCAAGTGGCCAACAGTCTACAGTGTCATGGATTCATACCTTCTGACCTGAGATGTTCAAATTGGCCAAATCGGGAACACAGATGCCCCCACTCCTGCAACCCCCACCCTCTTACACACCCTCTCCATGCTTTCCCAGAAGTGTCAGTTTAGGGTTGAGTTTCAAATCCACCCTTGGTCAATGGAGGAAAGGACACATGAACCAACATTTTGATTACAAAATAAACAATTGTTACATAATTGCAAATAATATGGTAAGATGGTAGAGAGCAGCCAGAATTATACAAGCCATACAGTTAGACAGTGTGATGGTATCAAGCAGACAGCCTGGAAACCTTATATTCCACAGCTCCTCTCAGCTAATTACACCTATATGCTTTCATATTTTGTATTTAGATTCATTATTACTAAATTTTAGATAGTACATTTTATAAAACGGTTTCTAGATTTTACAAATTTACTTCTAAATTGTAAAGATTTGAAATGAATAACACTGCCAGCTGTAATTTAGGCAGATTCAGTTGGTTCTCACATTTGCCATCACTACGCGGAAGCGACTTTGATCTCTAACCAAGAAATAATTAGTGGTTAACAATATCCCTCATATTAATAACAGTAATAATATTCCAGGACTCTATGTAAGCAGGAATTGACATATATTTCACAACATCCAAGAATATTTATGATATACTTAATTAATACTTGGTTTTTCCTATGAAAATAATAAAGATGGTGATCTAGTACAATGCGGGGGAATGTGATGGTAAGAAGTGAAGAGGAAAGCAGGTGTGAGCCCATCCTTGACAGATGAGTCTGGCTGTTTCTTGGGAGAAAGAAGGTCTTTCCAGGTCGTGGAAATACTGAGCACAAATGCAGACAATGTAAAGGCTGCAGAGTTTTAGGAAATAATCAAAGAGGTGTTTGGTCGCAGAAGGTAATAGGATCTGGGCGGTGAGTGTCAGAAAGAGATACCATGGAAGTGGAATTTGTCTTTGGGAAAATGGGAGCCTTTATCTGTTTATCATGAGCAGCAAAATGACCTCCTCTGTTTTGAAAGTTGAGGCCGAAGTCCAGAAGGAAGACATTGGGACCAGCTCCAGGGCCTTCCCACGGGGCAACTGGCTCTGCAGTGATGACCATCCTAGGCTGGTCCCAGGATGATGCCAGTTGCTACCAGGCCTTGCAGCACATTTTCTAGCTATTGAAAACTTTGACAGGTTATGTTGCAGTGAACACAATTGTTTTATCATCTGGTAGCTATTTTTAAATAATCTTTAATCATGGTCTCTCTCCTCAAATTTCCCCAAATTTCAATTTCTTC